TAAAGAAAGGAAAAAGCACAAGGTCCAATTCCTTAATGATGAGGCAGATTTGCAGATAACTGTACATAAAAGGCCCTCTGGTAGAGTACTAGCTAGCATTTGTAGAGTGCTCTAAGGTTTGAAAAGTACTTTACATATGTTAATGTTAATTTACTATGTTAATTAGTGCATAACTACCTGGTTAAACAGGTGCTATCATTATTTTCATTTTACAGATTTGACAACAGAAGCACTGAGAGTTTGAGTAGTTTGCCTTGTGTCACGTAGCTAGGGAGTATCTGAGGCAGGATTTGAACTTGAACTTGGGTTTTCCTGACCCCCAGGTCCTGCATTCTGTGTTCCAGCATTTAGCACAGTAAATGTTTATTGATATTGGTTGATTAATTGGTTTTTCTGTAGTTTCAGCATTTTGTGTTCTGTGGCCAATTTAATTCAATGAGTCTAAGAGTGAATATGTCAGATTTTTCACTATGCTCTTTCCCCATCCTTACTGCTTTTGTGGTTCAAGCCAGATAATATAAGTAGTAGTAAATAGCAGTATCCTCCCACAATATAATGCTCTTGCCTTTTCATATTTGAAAGGAGGTCCATTCCTTTCTGTATGTCAGCATGTGCTAAGATCTCATCATTTGTTGCAACAAAATCACAATATGTGGGAGCTGGCAGGCCATCATCAAATACAATCACCCTTGCTGTACAGAAGAGGAAACATATCGACCCCAAATTTGGGAGGTGAATCACCCAAGTTCACACGGTGGCTGCAAAAGACTGGGATACATGCCTCCTAACTTGCAGCATTGGTCTCTTCTGCTTCGGGCTTTTTCCATACCTACTTTCTGTCACTCACTCGTTGTTTCCACCTGCAAACAGCCCAGTTTAATAGTTTAAAGATTTTTTTGAGAGTAATTTATTGGTGTAAGGATTTAACTTGAATCTCAACTAAGGTCTGCAGGCTTGGGGACATCCCCAAGGGTACCCAGGAGAGAAAAGCATGCATGTGTGTATATACATACTTACATGCATACATACGTGTGTGTATGTGGAAAGGAGGGGAGGGAGAGGGAGGTAGGAAGGAAGGAAAGAAAAAAAGAAAGGGGGCCCCTTTTTAGTATTTACCCAGTGCCCTCCTTCCTCATGTTTTTCTGGAGTATTTAATTGCTCAGGGCAAGTGTGAAAGAATATAGTTTTTAAGAGCGTTTTCCCCTGGTGCCTAATGTTCACTATCAGGTTACAATGGGCAATTGAGAGCAATGAGTTTTTGTTCTAGTCCTGTCCCCACCCAACCTTTGTGATTCTAGTTACCTGCTAGTTCTGATTTCCTGCCTATAAAATGGTAATCCAATAAATCATGCTGGGTACCTGGGGATTTATATTCTCTAAGTTGCTTTGGAATCCATAATTGTAAGACAATTATTATTACTTCTGTAGCCTTTAATAGAAATGGTCTGGTATCTAGTGAAACAGACCTGCCAAGGTCTGAGCCTCACAGTCTTTGGATTTTATATTGGCTTGAGAGTTTCTAGATGTCTTGGAATTAGTCTCTTTGATTCTGTTGCTTGTTTCCCTTGTATGATGCTGTTTGTATTAGTGTAGTGTTGCATCTCATTGGACATTTTTTCTGGGCTTCCCCATTCTATCCTGTGATTTAAAAATCAACCCAGACAGTGCTGTGGTGATAGATGAGGTCGCATGTTGTTTGGAGTGATAAAAAACACCAGTAAGTTCTCATATTTCCTGTTAGACAAAGAAAGCTCGTGGCATTTATTCTAATTCTTTTTTTTTAATTTTTTATTAATTTATTTTAATTTATCAGCAATCACTTTCATAAGCTTTTGAGTTTTAAATTTTTCTCCACCTCCCTCCCCACAACAGCACACTATCTGATATAGGCTATACATATACATTCCTATTATACATGTTTTCATATTAGTGATGTTGTAAGGAAGAATTAAAACCAATAGGAGGAACCACAAGAAAGAGAAAACAAAATAGAAGAAAAAATAGCAAATAGTGTGCTTTGATCTGCATTCACACTCCATAGTTCTTTCTTTGGATGTGGATAGCATTTTCCATCATGAGACCTTGGAGATGTCTTAGATCCTTACATTGCTGAGAAGAGCTAAGGCTATCAGAGTTAGTCATCGCACAACATAGCTGTTACTGTGTACAATGTTCTCCTGGTTGTTCTCACCGGGATCTTTGGGTTTATCAAATTGTTTAATCTAGTTCTTAAAGCTTATAGAATCATTGGATATTAGAACCCAGAACATAGAAATTTAGAGTTGAAAGGGACCTTAGAACATAGAATGTTATAACTGAAGGAAAAAAATAGATAATGGAATGTTAGAGCTAGAAAGAACCTTGAAGATCGCCTGGTCTGTTTCCCTCTTTATGCTGAACCAAACTGTCTGATGGATTGAATGACACTGAATTGCCAAGCCCCAGACTCTTCTCCCTTGTACTATCCCCCCCCCCCCCCACATATACTTACATATATTTATGTGTGCTTAGATACATATAGAGACAAAACGCAGGTTTTATTTTGATTTGTTAGCATCCTCGGGGGAAAATAGATAAATAAAAAGTATTGTCTTTGTCACTCTGTGGAAGTCTGAAAGTCTTATTTTTGGAAGCAATATCAAAGTAAGGGAGTCTAGGCTTAGCAAAGCAAAGCATTTTTAGCATCAGTTCAGTCCAAACAGCTGGAGGCCTACGGAGCAATGACTCTCCTCTTCAATGTGGACTTAATTAACTGAAGACCAGGAAAACCTTTTTCCATTCAAGCCCCCCCCCCCCCCCCCCCCCCAACAATCTAGTAGATCCTGGGGGAGTTCAAGTTTTGATGCATCCTTTTTTGATGCATCCATTTTGATGCGTCCACCAAAGTTGGAAAAGTTTTGACTATAAGTCTATCAGTGGACTGAGTTTCTCTTGTCCAGGGATCAGCCTACTAACTTGATTCCACCACCATGTTCAGGGAAGCCTGGACCTTGCCCTGACCTTAGCTGTAACCATGCTAGTAAGTACTGAAAGACTAAAGGAGACAGAAAGTAGATGAGACAAGTGATTATCATTGAAGGTGACCAGGGATTAATGTGCCTGCCAGTGAGGATTGATGGATTCCAGAAAGAATTGATGATCTACATCCTGAAAAGGTCAAGGCATCCTGTGTCTGTCTGTCAATTTCTTTCCTTTCTCTTGCCTTTCCCTCACACCTTGAGGCGCCTTGACCAAGAGAACACATCAAGGAAGAAAACAGTATTTTCTGAGGATGATGCAGTAAAACTTGATTAGAAACTATGGAATTAGACTGATGAGCAGTGGCAGGAGTTTGGTAGTGCGAGAGGTAGTTCTTCTGTAATATGAGGAAAGTATTAATTATGTTGTAAGTGTCCATCCAGGGCCACTTTCTTTCTCTGGTCTTTGGACTCAGATCCTCTGTTTCCTAACTTCATTCTACCCTCATTATGTTACAGGTGCTCAGCTAAACTTTATTTTTGCCCAGCAGCTAGCTTAGTGCTCCATACACAGTAGGTGCTTAATAGATGCTGTTATCTTAAGGGAGAGTACATGAGAGAATAGTTGAAATCCTGATAAAGCGACATGTATTATGTATTTTACTCAATGTTAGAGGCAGTATCAAATAGTGGCTGGGCTTGGAACCAGAAAGAACTGAGTTCAAGTCCTTCCTCTGACACTTAAGGGCTGTATGAACCTGGGCAAGTCACTTAGCTCTGAACCTCAGTTCTTCATCTGTAAAATGAAGACATTTGGCTAGATGCACACTAAGGTCCCTTCCAGTGCTAAATCTGTGATCCTGTGGTCTGATATGTTATGGAATGTCAGCTTTGGAAGGAACCTTGGAACATAGAATTAAGAGCTGGACAGTATCTTCTGATCCAGGCACATAATAGGTGCTATATAAATGCATCCCTCCTTCCTTTCTTCTCCTTTTTCCTCCTTCTCCCCTTTCCTCCCTTCTTCATTCCTTCTTTCCACTCTTCCTTCTTTCCTCCCTCCCCCAATTCTTCCTTGAAGGCAGGGATCTTTTTTGCCTTTCTTTGTGTCCCCGTCATTTAGCACAGTACCTGGCATGTAGTAGGTACTTAATAATGTGTGTTGCTTGAAATCTCCTTTAAGACCAGCTGTTTTCCTTCGAAGCTCAGCTTAAGCATCACATTCTACATGAGACTTTTCCTGATATTTCCCCAGCTGCTAGTGTCCTTTGCATTTATATTATATTTATATATTATATATTTACATTTTTTTCTCCCCAGATAGAATGAAAGTTCCTTGAGGACAAGGACTCTTTTTGGGGGGGGGGGGCAGGGCTAGGCAATGGGGTTAAGTGACTTGCCCAGGGTCACACAACTAGTAAGTGTCTGATGTCATATTTGAACTCAGGTTCTCCTGACTCTGGGGCCAGTGCTCTATCCACTGTGCCACCTAGCTGCCCTGAGGGCAATGACTCTTTCTGTTTTTTTTTTGTTTTATTTTATTTTTGTTTGTTTTTTATATTCCCAGTGCCTGGCACATGGTAGGTGTTTAACAAATACTTGCTGATTGATTCAAGCCTTCCTGGATCCTTTCCCCCTTTCTTACAGCAAAATATGATCTCTTCTTTCTCAAATTCTCCTGCAACTTCATCTTTCTCCTTTTCCACTCTCATACTGTATTTTGTATCATGCTGATTTGTGTACAGTTTTTAACTGCCTTAATTATAAGGTCTTTGAGACCAGATCCCATCATTGTTGTCTTTGTAGCCATAGCGCCTGACACATCTTATTTATAAATATTATGTATGATAAATGTCCTGTTGAGTTAGTTTTATTATCTAATCCTTTTTACTTACCTAATACCTATTGTCAATCAATAAACATTTATTAAACACCTACTATGTGCCAGGCACCGTACCAACTGCATTACAAATACCAGATGTTGAGTAATCTTATGTCGAAATAAATGAGGACAGAACTGAATTAGTTTTCTTATTTCATCAGATGGCCATCATCTTCAACCAGGAAGGTCTCAGTGCCATCAAGCCCCCTTGTGTGATTCAGAGCTTCATCAATCACAATGCTGTCCTGTACAAGGTGTTTGTGGTAGGCGAGTCCTACGCAGTGGTACAGAGACCATCTTTGAAGAACTTTTCTGCGGGGATGTCAGGTAATTTACCCAAAGGCCTTTCACGGTATTGACCGTTAAGGAGGGGGGTGTGTGTGTGTGTGTGTGTGTGTGTGTGTGTGTGTGTGTGTGTGTGTGTGTGTGTGAATGAACGTACTTTTAGGATCAGGCTGCTAAAAGGATAGCATCTGCCTCTCCTCTGTTACTCAAATGGCGAGCAGAGGTAATCCAAATATGACAATCCTCTGTTCTTGAGTACATATGAATCAGGATTCAGCAATACTACCATGACTCAGAACATACTTGTGGGTTCATAGCTTGGGAAACCTGTCTTCAGAGCCCAATTATTAGCTAGAGGAGAAAGGCATGCTCATCAGTCTATAGATTTAACTCTTTTTTTATGCCAAGGAGTTCCTTGACTTGGAGCCTGCAAGCTTGTTCACCACACTTGGCTCAGGAATGCTTTTGGCCATCCAAAAAAACACAAATTCACCTTCAGAATAAAATTTACAACCATTAAAGAGATTTCAGATTTGCCTGAATGAACAGGAAGAACTTATGTGTTTCTGTATCATTCATTCAGTAATTGAATGTTGAGAAGTCACAGTAGCAAGAAGGCCAGGGAGAGTGTTCTAAAAATCGATCTTTGAGAGATAGCAGGGAGAGGGAGATGACTCACAAGTATAATTGTTAATTGTATTCAGTCTTGTCACACACATTTGCTTACTTAAGATTTGGATGTATGATTTCTTCAGTATATAGAACTTCAGGTATAGAAACTTCCCTTAAGCAGATGGTCACAAGTCAGCAACAAGCATTTATTAAGTGGTTGCTTTGTGCCAGGCATCATGCTAAACTCAGAAGATTCAAAGAAAGAAAGGCAAAAAACAGTCTCTGCTCTCAGAGTTCATGGTCTAATGGAGGAGAGAACATGTGGACAACTTTGTACAAACTACATACAAGCTATATACTGGGTAAATTGGAGATAATCAACAGAGGGAAGGTATTAGAATTAAAAAGGACCAGGAAGGATGTGGGATTTTAGCTGGGACTTGAAGAAAAATCCAGGAGGTAGAGATGAGAGACATGGGGGACAGTCAGAGAAAATGCCCAGAACCATGAGATGCAGTGTCTTGTTCAAGGTGGTTAAGGGGGTAGGTGATTGGGGAAGGATAACGTATGAAGAAAAACTTAATAACATTTAGAAATATTCAGAAGTTCATTGGGCTAGTTGTTTTATTTGTTTTTATTGTTTTAATTGGCTGTCTGCAAGAAGAGACTGGACTTTCCCTTGGGAGGAATATTGTGTGGGTTTCTTGTTCAGGTATGAGCTGAAGGAATTAGATGGCCTCTGGGGTCCGTTACAGTTATGAGACTCTTTGATTCTCTAACATTTATTAAATGGCTACTCTGTGCAGAGCTCTGTAATAGACACTGGGAAGAAATACAAAGTTTAGTTAGGTAAGTTACTCACTGCACTGCCTTCATGAAACTTAAAATCCAGATAGGAGTTAAAGTACAAACACAGATAACTATAATACACATCTTATGTTGTGTATATTAATTCTCAAAATGCGAAAAAAGTTTTTTATGCAAATTCCAAGGAAGAAAGCAATTACTGACCAGAGGTAAGGAGGCTGATATCCATGGAAGGCTTTGTAAATCAGGTGATATTTGAGTTAATAAACTTTTAAATGAGTAGTACTTCAGCAGGCAAAGTATTTGGAATGGAATAAATAAAGGCTTGCAAGTTTAGAGCTAAAAGGGACTTTACAGAGCGTAGTAACTGACTTATTTTACAGATGAAGAGTTGGAAATTTAGTAAGAGCCTGTAGTTGACTGAATAGGTATCATATCTGCCTTCTAGATTTTAAGTTCTCTAAGACCATTGCCCAGAGCAGTCATTAAATCATTGTTGGGTTACACTGATTGTGTTTCAAGCTAAGGCAGTCATTACCCAGAGCATTGGGCCCTGAGGTCAGAGAGACCTGAGTTCACATCCATTCAGACTTAGATACTTGATAGGTGTGTGACTCTGGACAAGTCACTTAATCTGTTTGTCTCCGTTCCTCATCTGTAGAATGAGGATAATAATAGCACCTACCTCCCAGGGTTGTTGTGAGAATTAAATGAAATAATATTTGAAAAGCACTTTGTAAACCTTGAAGTGCTGTATAAATGCTAGCTGTTGTTTATGTTAATGACCTGAGTGTTGACTGATCTAAAGAGAGTTATATTCCTTTGTGCCCTGTGTGTAAAAAAACAAAACAGTGTACTGACTTTCAAGACAACTGATAAGTCACTCTTAAGGGGAAATCTGTAGCTGGAGCTTTCTACACTTAGATAATCTTATGTGCTTTTTTTGGCAAAGATCTTTCTAAGCCCCTAGATTCCATCCCATTAGAACTTCCTGCCCCTCTGTGGACCTTGCTTGGTCCCCCCAGACTCTCTTAAATTAAGTGCAGCTGTTTACTCACCCTTGTATTCCTCTCAGCTGTCCTCTCTTGAGTGATCCTTTCCTGCAGCAACACTGCAGGCCCAGAGCCTCACTGATGTGAAATAACCTTCTCTTCACACCTGCTTGAGAGTCCTTCTCCTTATGCCAGCCCAAGTCTGATTCTCTAGGGCCAGAGCGGGGAAGAGGAGAAATGGAAACATTATGAGTAGATGAGGAGGTGAGGCTTTTGAAATTCAAGAGGAAAAACAAGAAAACTTTATTTCTAGTGGTTCTTTTTTTTTCCCTTCCTAGGCTTTCACAATTCCAAATATGCCAAACATGATCAGTTTACCAGTACAACTATATTCACACATTATTTGTATTTTCCACATTGCATTTTCCAGAGACAATAACGACAAACTTATTTTAGGTTTACAAATGTCACCTGGCATTCTGATCTATAATAAGCACCATAGAAATCATAAAAATAATATCAACCATCCTTCTCCTCATTATTTTTTATCATCATTATTATTCTAGTTGTAGTAGTAATGGTAGTGGTTGTTGTTTTGTAGTGGTTAGTGCTAAACTCAGGATCTGGAAGATTTGGGTTCCAGTACTGCCCAACATGTTTTAGCTGTGGGACCCCTAGGCACTCTCTAAGGATGTAAGCTGAAGAGAAAGTGCCGAGTTCCTCATTAGGTACTCCCTACATCCTAGCACTTAGTACAGTGTCTGGAACATAATAGGCATTTCATAAATGCTTGTTGACTGACTACGTGGCTGATAGCACAGTATCAGTTAAAGAGGTGGGGGAGAAACATTCTAAAATGTATTTCCTTCCATTCTCCTCCTTTGTACCCTCACATTTGTCCCTTCTCAAAGAAAGTTTCGATTCTGTCAGGAGTCTCAACATTTATAGAAAATCGATCTTTCTCCTGACATGCCATTAGAAGCAGCAGATATCAGGGGAGTATTGTAGAACAAATGGTATCTCATAATTCAATGCAGTCCTGCTGGATTGAAACCTTGTTTTGTTAAACAAGGTTCTGTTTTTGCTGGCTCTTTATAGTTTTATACTATTCTTGGTACTAACCATAACCATTACCAAGTTGTCATAAGTTATATAAAATTGAGGATAGAGTGGCAGAGGGGGAGAGAGACTAATGAAAATAATTATATTCTTATGTATCTGAAAGAGCCCAGTATTGGATAGAAGTCAAGAGATTTCATTCTAAGACCAGGTCATAGAATCATCCACCTTGAGGGTTCTTATAAGAAATCTTTTTGGTGTCATGGACCCCTTTGGCAATTTGTTGAAAGCTATGGCCTCTTCCAGGATAAGATTTTTAAATATGTAAAAATCCTTAAGAGTACAAAGAAAACCACTTATATTGAAATACAGTTATCAAAAATAGTTCATGGCCTAGTTCAGTTTTTCTCACTTCACGTGAAAATAAGACCTAGGGAAGGGAGATGACTTGCCTTTGTTTATAGACAAAGGCAGAATACCTAGATCAGAGAATACCATTTGCTAGTCACTTCCCTCTCTAAAATGAGTTTGGACTAAAACTCAGATAATCAAGTTATGTCCCTGGTGACAAACTATAGGCTGGCCAAAATTTTTAGTTTAAAAAAAAAGTGTGTCTGTATGTCTGTGTCTGTCAGTCTGTCTTATCAACTAGCCCCAAATAAACTAGTTAGCCATTTTGATCTTACTTATGTGCTTGTATACTTCCAAGTATCATTGGAACATCCTTGAATCAATTATTAATGATCATAATTTTAAAAATATGGTCCACACACATGGATTTCTGAGCATATGATCCTATTAAAAAAATTGAATGTGCCTATGCTAGATCATTCCTAGTTTCTTTTCTAGTTCTAACATTCTTAAAATTTTAAATAGTCATAAGCTGAATAACTTCCTCTCTTTGTGCATGCCTATATCATCATAGTTATTGGTGAATATTAATTTAGTGCTCAAACTGTGTGTATATCTACCTTTGTTCAGTTTTGCCATCACAAGGCAAAACCCTCCATTTAAACTCTTTTTCCTGAGAAGTCCTTTGAGCAGAGGCAGGTATGGTGTAATGGACTCAGAGTCCTGAAGAGCTGGGTTCTAGTCCCACCTTTAACCCATACTGGATGTGTGCCTCTCAAGTTGGCAAGAAGGTACCGATCTGCATTGGTAGAAGGAATTTCCTCCCTGAGAATTCTCTGTACCAATCAAATCAAGTCTGGCTCCTCCTCAGTACTTTCTTTCCTTATTTATTATTGCCACTGCCTTTTGGGTCATACCTCACAGCAAGAGCAACGTGGGCCCTGAATGGAGTAAAGTAGTCTAGACCCATGTGAGATTATAGAATTTGTGGGGAGGAAGAGGTTGTTTCCATGCTGAAAACTCCAAGCCATGGCAGGGTCTGTTGTAGATAGCATGAAAATCGTGCTAAATATAGCTGCTGAGACTACCCTCTGTTTCAGGGGACTCCTCATGAGAGCTTGATTGTGCATGATCATGAAGCCTAAGGACTGGGACTGTGTATCATATTCTACACATATGAAGTGGGCACTTCATACATTGTATTTTTAAATAAACCTGATTAGAAATTAGGCTCTTGGGGCAGTTAGCTGGCGCAGTGGATTCAAGAAGATGCACTGGCCCTGGATTCAAGAAGACCTGAGTTCAAATTTGGCCTCAGACACTTGACATTTACTAGCTGTGTGACCCTGGGCAAGTCACTTCACCCCATTGCCTCAAGGGGAAAAAAAAAAAGAAATTAGGCTCTGGGATTCTCTGCTTCAGGACCACTGCCCCAGAGAGTAGAGTTATATATCTTACTCCCTATTTCTCTGTTTGTCTCTTCTGACTGGTCAAGTCCTCCTTTGCTTCTCTGGACATTGGTTTTCTCATCTGTAAAGCAGGGACTACAATATCTTGCCTTTTCTGCTTATTTGCTTCTCTGATGCTCTCCCTTTCCTGGTCAGAGAATTTGCAGAGGGACTTAGAACTCCTTTAAGGACAGCTGTGCCAACATGATGGCAACAAGAGGAAGGATTGAGGCAAAGAGATAGAAGAGTCAGTGCTATACCTGTATGTTCTGTGAGAGTCTGGGAACCCTGGCATGGATATGGGCTATGGAACCAATGGATATGGACTGTCATCATCATAATAACAAGCATTCAGTAAGCTTTTACTACATGTCAGGCACTGTGCTAAGCTCTGGGGATATAAAAGTAGAGTAAAAACAAGGTCCTTCCTCACAAGGAGCTCACGTTCAAATAGAGGAGACAGCATTTTTCTTGCCTTGGTTTATTAAAATGTAGCTAATGGCGAAATATGTTTTGCATGACTTCATATATATAATGTGTATTATGTTTCTTGCCTTCTCAATGAATGAGGGAGGAGAGGGAAAGAGGAAAAGAATTTGGAATTTAAAATTCAGAATGAAAAATTTAAAAGCATTTAAAAGGAATTCACACTCCTGAGTAGCAGTAGGATGGATGGCATTACCAGTTTAGTTTATGAAACACTTGGCAGGTGCACTCATGCAGATGTTTGCAAGGTTGTCAATCTCGTTATATAATCATAGGATTTTAGAATTGGAAAGGATTTTGCAGATCGCCTAGTCCAACCCTTTCCTTTTATAGATAAGGAAAGGTGAACTCCAGGCAGAGAGTGGTTTCCCCGGGATGATACAGCTAGCAAATAACAGAGCAGCTGTTTCATTGGACTTCTAGAGTGGTCTCTCTGCCACCAGTCTTCCACTTTCCCCATCCATCTTCCCCCAAACTGCCCAAATAATCCTGCCAAGGAGCCGATTTCATGTTACTCTGCTCAGACACCTTCAGTGGCTCCCTGTTGTCTTGATTTCAGTCTGCTTTTCTGGCCTTATTTCACATTGCTTCCCTTCACTCCATCCACGTCATTTTCTTCCCTATTCTTCTATTCTGTTCTTCCCTAAACTTGATATTTCATCTCTTACCTCCTCAGCACGTTTTTCACAAAGTGTCTTCCTTGCCCTGAATCCACTCCCTCCTCATGTCTCTGCTTCTCAGAATGATTATTTTCCTTCAAATTACCACCTTGAATCCTTCCCTGATTTGTCTGGTTTTTAGTTCTTTCTCTGTCTTGACGTTGCCTTTATTTACTTATTTATCTTTGTGTTGTATCCTTCCAAGTAGAAAGTAAACTCTTACTGAGGCTGCCCTTTCCACTTTTCCTTTTTCCTTGTTAGGATATTCTCCTTTATATGAAACCAGAGTCTGCCCCTCTATACCTTCTTACTCACTGCTTTCATTTCTGCCCTTTGTGATTAAATAGAACAAATCTAGTCCTTCTCTCATGACAGCTTTTTAGTCTTACAGATTGCCATAGTGTCTGTCTATCTCTGCCCCCTCCTGGCCATAACTCTTCTCTTTTCCAAACTAAAATTTCATATTTCTCCCACTTATTGTCATTTGGCATGCTTTATAGTCCTGTCGTCATCATTTTCACCCTTCTGAACATGCTTCACTTCATCAGTGACCTCTCCTCTCTCTGGGACTCAATTTCTTCATCTGATCCCTTCTGACTCTTAACATTCTCTGTTTCTCAGGTCTGGGCATCAGCCCTGACTCTGATCCTTATAATATAACCTTGGGCTTCAACTTAACCTTTCTAACCCTCAGTTTCTTTATTTGTAAATTGGGGTTAATACTACTTGGTGACCTACATAAGGTGCTAGAGATAATTTTTGAATTGTTGTTAATTTTATTATTCCCTAGGGCCTTGAGATATGAATAGCAGATAATATAGGCTTTTTTGTAACTGAGGCTATTCTTTGATGGGTAATTGGATGTTTGTATCCCTTAGTCTTCAGAAAATGAAGATTCCCTGGGGCTGTTGGAATGAACAAGGGAGAGAAGTTAGGAGTAAGATATCTTCTTCGTATAATGGTGGAGGATAATAGCATATAATGGGAAGAGCTCTGCATTTGGAGTCTGGAGAATTGCTTTCTCAAACAGTAATTACCCTTTTGACCTTGACCAATCATGCTCAGCCTTATTCTCCCTATTTTTAATATGAGGATAATAACACCTGTCCTGTCTCCCTCTCAGAGTTTTTGGTAAGAATCAGTGAGAATAAACATCTAAGTATTTTTGTAAAGCACTATTATACAGTGGTTGTGTTCTTGTGTCCAGTGCTTCCTGACCTTCTGGGCCTGTGGCCTGTTGGAGGAGGCAAAGGTCTGGAAGATGCTGGAACGTAGTGTCTGTGCTTACCCTGTAGGATTTTTATTTTTCTCAGGCGGCCAGACAGGCAGCCCTCCTGGATCATCTTTCATGCCCTCCATTTGGAATGGCTCCAGAGCGAGCTAGAGGAAGGTCAGGAATCCTAAGGCAACAATGTGCCTTGAAGCTCAGCTAGTGAGAATTATACCAGGTACATTTCCAGACTGAGCTTGGCATGAACTTATATCAGTTACCTACAAATCATTTCGCCAGCCCTAACACAGAGAAGTCCTTAGTGGACAATGAGTGTGGGAGGAAGGAAAAGAAACTGACTTATATGAGAGTGTCAGTACTGCCCAATGAACCTTCATATTGCAGAGGTAGCCCTCACATCTCTCTCTTTGCTGGATATTGAATCATTGCTTAACAAACAGCATCCGTTTTTACATTTCTGACATTGTCAGCTTGTGAGGGAGGGAGGGGTGAGGGCTGAATATGGTTACACATGTGCTTTTTCTGGCCTGTATATATAGGTTTAGCTGCATAGACGTTTACATGCTCCTCTCAGTTATCCAGATAGATCTGGTGCCCTGGGGCACGGCATAGAAGACTTGTTGAGTCTTGGGTTACCAATTCAAAAACCAACACAGATAGAACAGATACAGAGGAACAGTGTGGTGTCTGTGTGTGCTTTGCTTGTAGATATGTGAGTGGTCTTCCCAATCCAAACACCAATGATCTGAGGATCTTGATTTCATGCTATTTGAAGCCTGAATTGTGGGTCCTCCCCCCATCTGTACCTTAATGGCAATAATTCCACCTCATGTTTGTATAAAGTACTTGCAAACAGAATGAAGTCCTACAAATATGGCTATGAAAGGCCTGTCCAAGGAAAGGTAATGTGGCAAGTGGGAAAAGTCAACCAAATGAGGTAAATGACTGAGGTAGAGATTCATTTAAAATGGTCCTTCTGATAGTATGGTATTGTGGAAGAAGCCCAGGTAATAGAACCAGAAGACCTGTGTTCAAATCCTGGTTCTACTACTTACTACTTTGTGACCTTGAACAACTTATTTAACTTATGCTTCAGTTTCCTTATGTGTAAAGTCAGGGGGTTGAATGAGATTTTCATTAAGGTTCCTTCTAGTTTCAAAGCCTGTGTCAGAAAAAAAAACATAAGAATATTTCTGGGCGGTTCAGCATGTCCTTAATATAGAAAAGTGGCCTCTTGGGGTTGTGGAGGACGTCATTTTTCCAAGGATGGGTGGTTAAGGACTTAGTGGGCAACATTTCAGCGAGGGACTGGCCGATTGGTTGGTCTGCAGGATTGCCTAGGTAGTACTGCCCCCTGGTGGTAAGTGTATAGCCAAACCCAGTCCTTTAGAGGAAAGCATTGTAAAGGATAGCCAAAAAGAGTCATTGACTCTGACCCTTTTCTTTCTTTCTTTCTTTCTTTCTTTCTTTCTTTCTTTCTTTCTTT